TGAGGACCTTTAGGCAGGCAGGAGAGGGATGTGACTAGATTTGGTACAAAGAACACAGGGCAGAGTGTGACAGTAGGGAAGCCAGTTAATAAGAGATAGAGGGCCTGGCCAAGGATGGTAGCCTTGTGGTGATTGGGCGGGCAGGAGAAGCTTTCAAAACTAGCTATGTGTTTAGCCAAATCCTAGAGATAGAGCTCCTAGGCCGTCACTATGCTGTGTGTAATAATGCCATATTTGTTTAAGGCCAGGCACTTGCACAGTGCATCCCTGATTTTCAGATAAGATTGAAAAAGGTTGAGAAATTTGTCTGAAATCACACCCAGGGAGTGGTGGGACTGGGGCTGTGGCCAAGCTGCTAAATGGTAGCCCTGTCTCGGCCTGTGCACATGGGGTGCGGGAAGTAGCCTGACCCCAGGATACCCTGTACCCCGACCCACAACAGAGGACTTTCCACACACACACCAGATCCTGACTGACAAAACAGAGCCATCATCCCTTAAGTGAGCAGAGACATATTCAGCCCCAGTTGCTTGACAGACACAGAAGGCAGCCTCCCTCTGAAAGGGCAGGCACTCCTGTCCCTCCACTAGCCATCCCTGACCCTGCCAGGGCCAGAGCAGCTTTGCCCAAACATTGCTATTTAAGAGAAGGCAGGAATGCTGTTTTACTAGCTCCCTCTTGTAACAAAGGATATCCTGTGATTAAAAAGAAAGAAAAAGCCTCAACATTTCATGTATGTTCACAGTGACACCTTTTTCTGAAGGTGACATTAATGCACTTTGGGCCAAACTGTTTTAACCACTGTCACCTTGCAGTGGGGGTGGGGTGTACGTGGCTCCCCTGCCCCTCTTGCGCTCTGGAGGCCCAGACCAGGTAGTATGGGATGTGAGGGGTGTTCATGAGCGCAGAGGAGCACAGGTCCCAGCCCTGCAGCCATCAGTCACGGCACAGCCCAGCCCCAGACCTCCAGAGTTGTGGGGCCCCCATGGCGCACAGCTCCAGATGCTCAGCAGATGCCAGGCTGGGACCGAGGCCCCATCTCCGAGGGCTTGGCTTGCTGTTCTGGAAGGTGATCCTGGCTTGCAGCCATTCCTGAGCCCCTAGCAGAGCAGTTGTCAGGCAGTTGCTGAGTTCCACCACCCCCCTCCCAAGCCAGACCCGGTGATCTCATGCCTGGGCCATGCTGTCACTGGGTGAGCAGATGGGTTGCAATGGGCAGAGCTCCATCCCCTCGACAGCCACGGGGCCCACACTGCCCTCTTTGGGGTTCCTACACCCCAGGGTGTGGAGTTTGCTCTCAAGAGGCCCATCCTGACCACACAGAAGAGCTGGAGGCATCTTTGCAGGTTGGATGGCTGCCAGGCCTGTGCACATGTGTCCCTGCTCCCCACCTCCAGAAGAGGATGGAGATCAGGGACAGACTTGTGATGGGGTCAGTTGTGGAGCCCCCTCAGTAGCTCTGCTGTGGCCTGTGCCTCTCCTGACTGATGAAGCCCTCAACCCAGGGCTAGATTTTGACTAAGGAAGGAACACAGAGGAGCAGTCTAGAGACCACCCCAGGCCTTGGGGCGCAGGTCTGGACTGTATATCCTGGAGGGCTCCTTCTTGCCCAGAAGTCCCTGAGTTCTAAGTTTGCTCTGCCACGTCCCAGGCCTTGCAGAAGGCAGGTGCTGGGGGCCCCCTGCTGGCTGATATGAGGAATTTACAGGGTGGGGGGACTCTGGAGCCCCAGCTGAGAGTGGTGACACTGCCCAGGCCCCTCTCCATCCTCAGTGCCTGGGTGTACCGTTGACACGGCATCCTGTGCTCAGTGGAGCTCTGGCTGCTGGTAGGTTGGGTTGGCCCCAGCCTTCCAGATCCCTAACTCCATTGAGAATCCTCCTTCCAGCCACCTGAGTGGGTGACTACCAGAACCCTCACCAGCCCCTGCCTCTGCTCACCTCTGCTCAGTGGCCTGGCCCTCTGCCTGTCCTCTGCCACCTACTGGATAAGAAGGATGTGAGAACAGGTTGTGAGGAAATGGTCCCTGCAGCTGTGTTAGAACACTAATGAGTCTTATCCACACCCAGGGAATCAGGCTATCCTGCTGTGCCATCCCTTTATTTGGTGATTTGACATTTGTCTGGGCCAGTGTCCCCCAACTGGCTTGGCCAGAGTTCCACACACTCTCCCGACTCCCAGCCTGGGGAGAGGCTGAGGTTGCAAGGGAAACAGATCTAGCCACAGCTGGGGAGTGGCCCAGGTGGGCCCTTACCCAGCTGCAGCAGGCTCTGTGGTCAGGGTTACCAAGAGTGCACGTGTTGTCCTCTGAAGAGGCCAAGGGTGACTCATGCTGGGGTCCAGGGAGAACAAAGAACAGAGTCACTGCAGAAGCAGCTGGCCTGGGTCAGTTGTCACAGTATAAGGATCTCAGCTCAGCCCCACCCTCTTCCTCTCCCTTTTTCTTGTCCTTGCTTATAAAGATCATGAGAGGTAAGGTGGGAAAGCCCCTGCAGGAACTGGGAGCAGTAGGGTTGCCCAGCCCAGCGGCTCTTGGGCAATTAGTTCCTGACCCTGTAGGCTATGGTGGGAGGGACGGGCTGTGCCCAGCACAGCCTTACTTCTTCACCCCACCCTACCCCCACCTTCACCCCTCCTGGTGGCTCCTTAGCCTGCATCTGCATCCTTCTCTGCAAACCTGCTATGGGGGTATGCTGCCCTCTGCTGGCCATACTGTGAAATACACCCCAGAGTCAGCTCTGGAGTTGCAGTGTCTCCCTTTCACCCAAGCAAGCACTCAGCTGGAGAACAGAGAGGGTGCTCCCAGCCCACCAGGATACCCAGCTTGATGGGGGAGGAAAGCCTAAAACATGGTAAACTAAGTCCATGTGGACCAGTGGACCAAGAATGAATGTGGACGTCTGAGACATTTTGGTAATGATGGCGTGACCAAGGGCAGAGAATACATACCATGAGACATTTCTTGAGCAGGAACTGGGATTTCTCTTGGGTTAGGTTGACCAGATCTAAATATGAAAAATCAAATAAGAGCTCCATGGGCCTAGACAGGACACAGCAACCCTAGAGTAGCAAGGGAGAGAGATTGCTGGAATGGATGGGAATCATAGGGCATGATGGGAAGCTCCAGACTGCCTGTGTGGGAGCAGGTGGGGCAAGATGACAGCAGTGCCTGTGACTTGAGAACCTTGGCCATCCTGGCATCAGGTCTGTCCTTCATGACAGCCATGTGATTAGGTGTCACTGTTACCCTGTCTTATGTTTGAGAATAAACAAGGTAGGGAGAGGTCTCTAACATGTTCAGGTTCCCACAGCAAGAACATGAGCAGTCAGGATTAGAACGTGGACTCAACAGCCTTGGCATCCTGAAGGTGCTTGGATGTAAGGTTTTTAGCAGAAAGTGATGGGCACTAGGGCAAATGAGGGGAGGTGGAAAAGAGGCCACTCAAAAGGCTGTTTCTGTACTCCAGGGGCCAGCTGAGAAGCTTCTCATTCCAAATGCTGGTTTCTTATATGCTCAAAAGGCCACCTGAGGCCTGGTCCTTGTGGTCACAAGCCTAAGTTATAACCCTCCTTTGCTGCGGGTTATGGGTCATGGACTATCCCAAAGCAGTCTGCAAAGAAGAGGCCAGGCATGCAGGGCTGGCGTCACCCCCTCCATGGGCATAGGCGCTCTCTCCTACCCACCCCTTCTGCTGGTGCCTGCCCTGCTGGGGTATTTCCTGACCTTCCTGTGCAGAAAGGATTCCCTGGGAAAATAGGTGTGTTCTTGGGGCCTGCACTTTCTCCTTCCTGGTGCTGCCTTTCTTCCCAAGAGCTTGGCCAGACAATGAGGCTGACCCCACAGCATGACCCACACCTCTAGGAAGGGGAAGATCATTCCAGACTTCCAGCTGCTGCCAGACTGGCAGTGGGAGCTTTTTCCCTGACCTCTACGATTTCCCTGACCTTGCCTGCTCCAGAGGAGAAGCTCCATGGAACTTGGGAAAAGGCAGGCAGGACCGTGTCCCAAGCTAGACAAGGCCTTGATAGGCCTGAGGAGGCAGCTTTCCCCACACAGGGTCTTGGTCACTGTGGCATTGGAACATACCCAAGTTCACTCCTTGGAGACTTTGGCCTTTGTGCCTCCCAGCACAGGTAGAAGAAAGCAGCATGTGGCTCCCTGCCCCAGATTTGGCCTGGGTGGGGGGGTAGGTGCTGACCTTGGGGGTGTGTGATGCAGCTCCCCTTTACCTGCCTCTGGTCTGGTGGCCCACTTCCTCCACCTTTTGGCCCCTGCTCCTCCACCCTGGGACCTTGGTGCACACTCATCCTTTCCCTGGAACCATACCCATTCAGTCTGATTGTTAGTCTAGTTCTCCCAAAGTAAGGCAAGGCTAGAACAACACTCAGGGCATTCATGCTGACCAAGCTTGCAATGTCCCCACACTGAGGGCTTTCTCATGTAATGCTCTGACTCACCTGCTCATCTTCAGAAACCTTCAGCTTGTCTCCTATAAGACACAGTCCCCAGGCAGGAAGGGGGCATGTGGAGTCTTCAGTCTGCAGAGCCACAGCCCCACCCCACCCCCACCCACAGGGAGCTCTCTGACCAGACTCGGGGGGCTCCCAGGGGTGGGGGGCTTCACTTTTCTGTGGCCCCGTTTGGGCACAGCACTGTCATAGAGGGCTCCAGGAGTCTGGTCATTCCACAGAGATCTCTGCCCAGCACCCTCTCTGGGCCAGGCAGGCTCCTAAGCTCTGAGGCTACAGCAAGGAAGTAGACAGATGCTCTCTGGGAGTCCCTGCCTAGTGAGGGGGACAGCCCACACCAATCAGGAGAGAATGTCGTACAGGGGAGGGAATAGGAGTGAGAGGAAGGCACTAGATTTGGGGGCTGGGAGGCTGTGCTTAAACTGAGACCTGAAGGGCACAAAAGAGCCAGCTATGCAGGGAGCATGGGAAGGGCTGCACAGCGACATTGTGGAAGCTCAACAGTCCCGTACCTGGTCTACCCTCTGCAGGCTCGTGGAGGAGTTCATGCTCTTGGCCAACATGGCAGTGGCCCACAAGATCTACCGTGCCTTCCCCGAGCGGGCCCTGCTACGCCGGCACCCTCCACCCCAGACAAAGATGCTGGACGACCTGATAGAATTTTGCAACCAGATGGGGCTGCCCATGGACTTTAGTTCTGCAGGAGCCCTCAATGTGAGTGCAGCAGGGGCAGGGGAAGACCTTGCTTGAGGGAAAGAAGAGAAAAGCCTGGACAAGTGGAGGTCCAGCAGCATCTCTTTCCCACCAGGGTCCTTCACCTTCAGCCAGGTCCCCCCACACACAAGGGAGTAGAGAGACCCTAGTAAAAGATGCTTGTCCCTCCCCCACTGGGACTGAATGGACCGCAGGGACACTGCCAGCTTAGCTGTGGGCAGGGATCCTGTGGCCAGGAAGGGCTGGAAGGGCTGGTCTTGGGCCCAGAGATTTCAGTATGAGGGCTGTAATTGTAGAAATGCAAGGGATGTTTTTATGCTAAGAGCTTTCAGGTTCCTGGGCCTGGAGCTAAGCCTCAAGGGCTGGGGAACCCTTGGCCTTGCCTATGATCCCACAGAGGAAGAATCTTCTCACCCATGCTTCGAGCCTGGGAGGGGCAGAAAGCTACCTTAGGTTGGAGAGCTGCACCGCAGGCTGCCCAGGCCAGCCAGCTAGACATGGAAGGGACTGGACTCAGGCCCTGTGCCTTACCCTCCTGTAGCCATCTGAGGAGGGCGAGGTCCCTATGCTGACCCTTTTGCCCCTGGGTCAGGTATTAGATGGTCAATATGAGATAGGGAGCCAAAGCCTTTCCCCAAGCCTGACCACATATCACACAGATTTTTGGAATTTGCTTCTAGAAAAGTCTGACCAAAACATTTGGAAATGACAAATACTCACTGGCCCGGAAGGAGGTGCTCACCAACATGTGCTCCCGGCCCATGCAGGTAAGAAGGGCCCTAGCTTCTGTCTTCTTCTGCTCCCACAGCACCACTGCACACACAGCCACCCCTACTGCTGCTCTGCTTGGGGCCAGGCTGGGGGAGAAGGTACCCCTCCTTTGTCAGCACAGAGGAACACTCCTGGGCTGGGAGGGGAGGCCACCTCTCAGCAGAACTGAGGTCAGGTTTGACCTGTATCTTCCTGTTCGCACTTACTCAGGGGCCATGTGCTCCCCAGGCCTTCTGTTAAGGGCTAGTCATACCTCATCTTTGGGCTTCTGCGGGGGAAAGAAGGGCTCATGTGGCTGCCAGCCCCCAGAGCATTGCTTGGCTTCCATGCTAGCCTGAATAGTTCAGACTGAGTCTGCCTCTGGCCATCATGGGAGAAGAGAGGAGTTAACTATGGACCTGGACCAGTGTCTGCAGTCAGGTGACAGCCTGGAAGGTGGGCTTGCTCCTAGCTGGCCCACATGTCCCTCCAGGTTGACTTGTCAGCCCCTGCAGGACCCAAGCTTGCTGGGAACGGGAAACCTCAATGGCCTGTCAGACGGTCTAGGAGAGCAGAGGATGCTGATGGGTGAGCTCAACTCTGAGCCTGCCCAGCGAGGGACAGCGACAGGCCATTTTTCAGGCGTTTGGCTACTCAGCAGATTCAGTCTGTTCAAGAGTAGCAAATGGCTTCAGCAAACCTCAGCCAGTTTATTTTTTGACAGTTTGAGCTCTGCTAGGAATGGCCTGCTCCAGATCACAAGCATCTCCCTGGCCAAGCATGTGTGGCACCCCCAGCACAATGGGCTTTGCCAGGCACTTGGGTACCCCCACCCCACCCCCGCTCCACTCCAGTTGCTCCAGACCAGTCTGACAGCACAGCCTCTGGGTCCCAGAAATGCTCCCTAGCCATGCCCTGCAGTTCCTCCATTCCCTGCCCCAGCTCCTGAAGCCATCCCCCTCCATGGTCCAAGCAGCCCTGGGGCTCCACAGACAGTATCCTCCTCTGAGCCTGACAGACTAGCCTCTCTTGCCTTTACCTGCCCATGACCTTTGAGCCAACATGCCTGGGGATGGGGCCATAGAAAGGGGCCAGCTTGTCTGGGATGCTTCTGCTCTCTCAGCCCAGGAATTGGGGTGGGGACATGGGACAGGCAAAGGCAGCAGCAGCAGTAGACACAAGCTGAGGCAGGCATCTGATCCCATGTGAGCTGCTGAATAGGACACCTGGGCTGTCACTAGTCCCCGCACCTCCCACCTTACCCAGAGACAGTTGCACCAGCCAGGAGGGCGGGCCCTTTGTCCTCTTTACCCCAGGTCATCTGGGAAGCTGGGTCACTGCTAAGAACAAAGCCCAAATGTGGCTAAAGTGGAGGCCACATTCCTACCCTCAGCCCCCTAGACTTGTCCTGGACATAACCCAGAGCCCGGCAGGGGCTGGAAGGGAAATGGAGGTAGAAAGCCGAGCGAGTCACCACTAACTGCACCCTGGATTCCAGGGCCCATATGCAGAGTAACCGGAGCCGGCTGTCTGTCTAGCCAAGTGCACAGGAGTGTGTGAGTGTGCGCAAGCACCAAGGGAGCCAGAGAACAAGTGAACTCACACGGCTGCAACCTTGGCCCTTGGGCCAGGAACCTGTTCGCTTGCTCCTGGCAGCACCCTTGGCCTTGGCTCCCAGCACTGAATGCTCAGGGACTGCAGGGCAGGCAGCCTTAAGAATGTGGCCCTGGCTCCTGCCTGGGCCCTAGAGAGCTCAGGCTCTGCTCCTGCCCCATCCTGACTGCTCCCCAGAACAGAGGCCTTTTGAATTCAGACCTGTGTATGGGCCTCCAGAAGGTCCCTGAGGTCAGCATGAGAAAGGTTGAGGCTGGCAGGCTAGAAAGGACCTCCCTTGGCTGGCATGGAGTCCTAGGGGCCACATCATCTGGGTGCTGGCTTGGCTGTAGCTAGGCAGGAAGTGGGCCAGAGGGGATGAGAGTGGCCCCGACCACGTATGGCTGGGAGGAGGCCAGGAGCACGTGCTGCCCAAGCAGGTTTCTGTGTCCCCAGCCTTCTCAACCCACCTCCCACTTTGGCCACATTGGGTATTGGGGATTGTGCATTGGACTTTGTCTTCTAGAACATAAACCTACAGGGTCCACAGCTTCTCCTTAAACCTCCAGAAGACAGTGTCCACAGCCCTGTATCCTGCATGGCCACATGCTTCCCCTCCTCCTTCCTGAGCTAGAATAGCTGCCCCAGCCTCATGCTGAGAACAGGCAAACCAGAACCAGTCCCTCCTGCTGGTAGGAGGTGCCAGCATGAGGCTACCCCTCCTCAGGGCCAAGTCGCCTATATAGCAGGACTCTGAGGGGAGGCGCCCAGCGACTTGAGGGTTCCCAGCACAGCTGTCCTCAGCAGGGTAGGGCTGGCTACATGTGTGCTGTCCTCAGTGCCTTTACCGAGAAGGGTCTAGGCTGCCCTGGGCAAGGCCAGCATTTGTCTCCAGGAGCAGAAAGGCTTGGGCGCCTTGGCTCTCCACAGCCTCCTGGCAGCCCCTTGGGTCCCTTTATGTAGAAAGGCTCCTGGTCCCAGGGCTTGCCTGACTTTGTTCAGTGACCAGGGGCCTGTGGGGTCCATCCACACCATGACTGCCCAAGTGGAGGCTCTGGGTCACACATAGCTCTGCCAGGCCTGGCCAGGCTCTGAGGCCCCCACCCCTGCAGATGGCGGTGTACTTCTGCTCGGGGCTGCTGCAGGACCGGGCACAGTTCCAGCACTACGCCCTCAACGTGCCGCTGTACACACACTTCACCTCTCCCATCCGCCGCTTCGCCGACGTCCTGGTGCACCGGCTCCTGGCTGCTGCTCTAGGTGAGGGGTGTGGTTCCAGCCAGGGGGGGGCCTGTGTCAGCTCAGAGCCACCCACATCAGAGAGGACACCCAGTGGCCAGAGGCCACTCTGCTCTGATTGTGGAGGTTGACGTTGGGCTTCCCAAAGCTCAGGGGAACTGGCCTGGAACATCTCCTTCCATGCATGGTTCTGCCAAAGCTGCCGTGGGCTCACTTCTAGCCCAGCTCAGCAGAGACCAGGGCGCTGACCATGGCACTCTGCAGCTCTAGGGACTGGACATCCCAGGCCTTTACTGTTCCTGGGCTAGGGTGCCACATGGCCCTTTGGCCAGCCATGACCCCTGGCCCTCTCCTAGGCTATAGGGAGCGGCCGGATGTGGAGCCTGACGCCCTGCAGAAGCAGGCTGACCACTGCAATGACCGCCGCATGGCGTCCAAGCGTGTGCAGGAGCTTAGCACTGGCCTCTTCTTTGCCATCCTTGTCAAGGTGAGCCCCCCACCTGGTGCCCTGCCTTCCCTCTGCTCCCCCACTTCTGGACACCTGTTCACTAGGACCCTCTAGGAGCCTGGTACAGTCCCGGCCGGTGCCATGGCTATAACTGTGTCCCTACAGGAATGTGGTCCCCTGGAGTCAGAAGCCATGGTGATGGGCGTCCTAAACCAAGCCTTTGACGTGCTGGTGCTGCGCTACGGGGTCCAGAAGCGCATCTACTGCAATGTGAGTAGCCTAGCAGGAGCATAGAGGTGGGCTCAGGCAGGCCAAGCCATCCCGCCCACACTGCAGAGACACAGGCTATGAGGGGTGACACTGCAGCCCTCACTGCACTACACTGGCCTGCACTGCCACAGGGTACAGAGCCCCTTACCCTATCCTACCTCTGCAGCACCAGGCCCACTGTGTGGCACCTGCTCACTTGGGATGGGGACACCAGGCTCAGGATCTGTCCTGGGCCTCTTCCCCAAGGGCCCAGGAAACCAGAGAACTGGCCCCTTTGAGACCACTGCCACATGGCAGGGCAGGCAGGCTTTGGGGGCATGAAGGGGGAAAAGACCAGAGAATGGGTCGTGTCTGCTCTGGATGCCATGACCATCGAGAAGAAGAAAAAGAACTGTCAGCTGGGCGTGGTGGCTCTGAGAGGCTGAGATGGGTGGATCACTTGAGCTCATGAGTTTGAAATCAGCTTGAGCAAGAGTGAGACCCCATCTCTTCTATTTAAAATGAAAACTAGCTAGGAGATATGATACTGTCTCAAAAACATAAACAAAACAGACAAAAAGAACTGTCCCTGCCCTGGGTGACTGTGTAATCATGGTTCTCTCCAAGGGGACTAGGGCACCGTCCCAACCCTGGCTCAGGGCCTGCTTCAGCCAGCCCTGTGGTCCAGGGTCAGCACCTGGCCACTGCCCCCAGCTTTGAAATTTCCTAACATCCAAAGTGTCTGTACGTGGGGAGCTCAAAAAAGCAGGTGTTCATAAAAATGGGGCAGGAAGAAGAGGTGGAACCGAGTCCAGCTGATCCCCTCAGGGCTTGTGTCCTGAAACTCACTGAGCAGGACAGTTCTGGTCCAGAGCAGCCCTGCAGTGGACCCAGTCCTTGGCCTGCACTGACCACCTGGGGCCGGCAGGGGGCACAGCTGTCCGCCTCTGTGGTTCTCAGTCCACCTGGCTATAGTCAGTGTTCAACCCCAGGCCAACCTACAACCTGCCCCCCATAGCACACAGAGCCTCCAGCCCCTTCTAGTGCCATCCCTTGGCATATGGTCACTCTCAGGTGCTGCCTCAGCCAAAGCAGAGGCCAGGGGCCAGGATCCAGTGGACCCCATCTCCAATCTCACAGCTGCCATTGGGTTGGCAGAGAGAGCTCCCCACAGGCCAGGTAGAGATGGGCCAAGGCACAGGGCTGCCTCCATGCCGTAGGGCTCTCCAGGGTGGAAGGTTCTGGGCGACCTGGGGCTTTATGTGTGTTCCCCAGGCCCTGGCCCTGCGGTCCCACCACTTCCAGAAGGTTGGCAAGAAGCCAGAGCTCACGCTTGTCTGGGAGCCTGAGGACAGTGAGCAGGAACCAGCCCAGCAGGTCAGACCCTACTGTGTCTCCTTCTCCCCATGTCTCCCCCATCCTTGCTCCTGCTCCTCAGGGGCCCCTCCTCCCTCATCTCATTCCCCATGCCCCCAGCACTGCAGACTTCTAAGTGGGGTTTCAGGCTCTGATGGAGGTCCCCTGTCACACCTCCGTACCTCCTCCTTGCCTTCCCTACCCTGGGGACACCCACTGTGGAGAGATGCGGGGGCTCTGGCTATCCTGCTAAATCAGGGTTCCGACCTTTTGGGTCCTATTGAGAATCTGATGACAACTATAGACCTCATACCCACAAAATTGTACAGAACCATTTTCACTGACAACATGCCCTGCAGGTCGAGCTGAATACCCCAGTTGTGTTTCCTGACCCTCTGGCTCTTTTTACAGTGTCTCAGGCATGTGTCCTCAGGTCCGTGACCAGGTGTCAGTCCTGGAGGAGGCTCTAGTTACGGATGGGCAGCAGAGGCTGTTGGAGTGGGTGGCAGGGCCCAGTTGACAGCTGGGGTGGAGCTGGGTTTGGGCCTCCACCCCTGTGGTCCTTGTGCCCTCATGGCCTGGGCTCTGCCACAGGTCATCACCATCTTCAGCCTGGTGGAAGTGGTCCTGCGGGCAGAGACCACAGCACTCAAGTACAGCGCAATCTTGAAACGGCCAGGCACCCACGGCCTCCTGGGCCCTGAGGAGGAGGAGGACCACAACGAAGAGTCCGCAGACGAGCCAGACGACTGAGGCCAGGCACCTGCCCCTGCCCACTGGCTTGTAGGAACAGGACCTGTTGACACCAAAGGGGATTTTTAATTTGGCTTTTATTAACTCAGGGGCTTGTTTTTATTTTTATTTTTGCATTGTATTTTATTTTTGCAGCTCCATTTTTAAATGAACTGCAGGGTAGGAGTGGAGCTGGACAGAAGGCTGAGGCCTGGCCAGGGCTGACCCAAGCAGAGTGGGCCCCAATTTGCCTAGCTGCCACCCCTCTCCTGCCCAGTAACCACTGCCATCCCCTACCCAGGAAATGGGGATTTTCAGCAAATCAGTGTCATGAATAAAATCAAGTGTGAACTGCTGTCTAGTGTGTGGGGTACCACTCAGAAGCCGGGCAGCGGGTTCTCCTTACACCCCGGGCAAGGACAGCAGAGACTCGGCTCAGGCTTCACCCCTCACAGCTGAGCCGGGGTCACTACTCAGAAACTCCCTGTCAGTTCCAGCATGATTCAGAGCTGGCCACGTGGCAGATTGATGCCAGAGTCTCATTCTGGCTGATTGAAAATGTAATTAGTATGCAGGACAATGAGCTCACCCATCACCCTGACGCATGTGCCCATGTCCACCCCGCCCCCACTTCCTCTCTGCTGCCACCCCATGGGGCCTGATAGGCTTGGGTCCTGACACCCCCTCCCCCAGTTCCCAGCCCAACACTCTAGAGGGGCAGTATCCAAACCCTGATGTGAGTCAGTGTCTCTGTATCTCCAGTCCCAATCCTGGGCTCCAGCAATGCCAAGGGGACATGGGGACAAAATCAGCCTGGCTTGAGGAGAGGAAGCCTGGAGCACCCAGGGATCCAGGAACACGGCAGGAGGCCACTGAGCAGCTTCCTTCCTCAGTGGCCTGAACACAGCCTATGCCTATCCCCCCACACACACTCCTCCAGAGAACCCTGGCCTGGCTTTCCCGAGAGCTGCCAGAAACCAGGATGAAAACCATGGTGACTGAGGCCTTGTTCCACCACACCGTTCCTGGGATGTCAGGATTAACGAGCTCATTTGATCCGGTTACAGTGAATTTTCTTCAAAGCAAAATTCAATACGGCAGCTTGTTAGAGTGCCTGCTGGTGCCTGGAGTCAGTGACTGGCATAGCTGCCTCCGCACTGCCACTGTCAGCTGGGCTTCTGCTGGAGGGGGCACAGTACCACACCTGCCCTCATAACCATCTCTCCTCTAGTGCCTTTGCCCAATCTGTGTGTTCTGCCACCCCAAGGATGCCCCAGTAGCCACCATGGCCCCCCACTGCTTCTGTCCTCAGAGCTTTCTCCTGAACCAAGTATCTATGAGGACAGACAGGTGGGGGACTTGGAAAAGGAGAAAGCTGCTGGGAGCCTGGCCCAGGCAGCCTGATTAAGAGCCCCAAGGGTGAGACTCCCCCACCCCATCCCCATCCCCTCAACACTGCTCTACATTTGAGGACCCATGGCCAAGTTCTCCTTTGGCTCCCTCAGGCCAGGTTGGCCCTTTCCCCTAGCCTGGGAGCTATGGGCAGGGCAGGGCCCTGTGGGGGTCTTGCTGGTGGGAGTTCTAGGCTCTCTCTCGGTCAGCAAGGGAGGCCTGCACTTACCTGGAGGCAGTTGCTAGGCTCCCCTCACCTGAAACTGCTCCCGCAGAGCAGCAGGTCTGTACCCAGCCAGGCCTGGTTCAAACACAGCCTCCACCACATCCCCTGGCCTGTGAGCTCTGGACAAGGGGTACGTTGCTATGACAGCTGCCCATGAATTCCATAGTGGGACAGCTCCTATGTGGCCCTGCACCAAGCAGACTTGTTGACAAAAGGAGTGACTAGACACCAAAGCTCAGCAAGAGGAGGACTCATTCCTTCCTGCAGCTGTCCCACAGTGTGCCAGTGCATGCTAACGCCTGGGGGATACGGTGAGACGCCATCTTTTCCTCAAGAGGCCAACTTGGATCCTGTGGGGAGGGTGATAGACACAAACGCTCTGTAAAAGGGTCTGGCAAAGTCAAGAGGCTGGTGACTATGTGCCCAGTCTTGACAGGTCAATGCTTCCTAGACCAGGTGAAGATTGCAAAGGAGGGGGCCTGGTGAGTTGGTGGGAGGGTAGACCTCTGAGGGCGCACAGCCCTTTCTCCTGGAGGGAGACTAACCTTCCCCAGTCGTAATGAGGAGAGGCTCAGGACAGAGCTAAGATCATCCCCACTTGGGGCAGCTGCCTCCCCAAGACCCCCACGAAGGTGGCACACCACAGAAGGACACTTCTGGGGACCTAGGGTGGCAGGACAGGAAAGAGCTGGGGAAGCAAGTGGCAGAGGAGGCCAGGCCTCCACTGAGGCAGTGCCTTACCCCACCACAGCTTCTCTGGCCACCAAAGGCCCAATTGGCAGGAAGCTGGAGGCCAGGGACGCCCCAGGTGCCATGAAGAAGGCCTGAGAGAGGAAACAGTCCAGATGTCCATGGGGCCTGGCACGCCCAGGCTGCCATCATCACAGATGGCTATGGGTACCCAGCAGACAGGTAGGGCCTGAGGACAGGGTAGTGAGGAAAACCAGTGGGGAGTGCAGAGGTTGGGCTCCTGCTGGGGGCAAGAGCCTCTTGAAGGTTGCTGCAGGTGATCAGAGAATGAGGTCTGTGAGGAGCCACTGAGCCTCATGGCTGGTCAGGAGGGCTCTGATGAGATGGCCTGTGGAGTGGGCAGGGGGTAAACAGGTAGGCCAGAGAGCTGGGGCCTGCTCGGCTGTGCACACAGGGAGAGCAGGCACACTAGGCTGTGCAGCCATGACCTGTCCTGGAGAGGACATGCAGGGCCTGCAGGATGGGCACTTCTAGGCCAGTGGGCCAGCCCAGAGGCTCAGCAGAGCAAGTGGATTGAGCTGGGCCTTATGAGGGGGGGCCTACCAGGGGTGCCAGGGCCTGACCAGACATGGACAGAGCCTATAGGATTCATGAGAAAAGCTAGGGTGGCTGTGGCAGCTAGAGCCAGGCCTATGGGCTGAGGGTCATATGTGCAGGCTTTTGGAGACAGAATGTGGAGGAACATATGCCTGCTGTCACTGCCTCCCCGAAGTCCAGGGAATGGTGAGAAAAAGGAGTGAGAAGATAGCAGTGTGTTTGGCAGCTGGAAAACAGATGACAGGTGGGTGGTCCCAGGCACAGCTGACAGGAGAAAGATGAATCCACAGCAACAACACAGAAAGCTGGAGCCGTCCCCACGTACATTGCAGACCCCCAAGTCACAGGAACTAACCATAACAGGCCCTCTGGTCTGGGGTACACAGAAACAGCTAACACAGCACCTGTCACATGAAGTGCCCAGTGGCTCCCTTGATCCTGGCTGGCAGAGCCCAGCACCTGCCCCAGCCTCACTGCAATACTGGAGGTCATCTCCTGCAGGAAACTCAGGATGTCTGCATGGGCCCTCCAGTCCTGGTCCAGGGTCTGTGTGGCCATGTGCATGAGACAGCTGAGACCACAGCCCCTCCCAGTCAGCCTTCAGGATGCTAGCAGCCAGGCTCTCTGCACCCCAGCCAGAGATGGGAGGAGTCTCTCTGGGGCTCTGTCCGTCACAGGAGGAAAGACAAGGACCCTGACAGCACAAGTTCCCCAAGCAGTGACTCAGCCAGTCGCCCCACAGGGAGTGTCTTGTCTATAAGCTTCTTGTGGTCCTCACTCAGAAATATAAATGTACAACCAGTGCTGGCCCTTCCCAGGGGACCTCCTAAAACAAATGGGACAAGCTCTGAGGAGCAGCGAAACCTTATAAGAAAAAGTTTTAGAATGGAAATGATTGTTGATGTCTTCAAAAAGGTGTTTTTTGTTTGTTTGTTTTACGAAAATCATAAAACAAGAGCAGGTTGCTCCAAAAAGAGAAGAAAGTAAGAGTTCTTGGGGGGGAAGATAGACTGCACACATGAAAAGAATTTCACCATCAGAGAGACTAAAACCTCTGCAGACATGTGAGGTCTCATAAAATGCCCGTCCCTAGGCTGGGCGCAATGGCTCACGCCTATAATCCCAGCACTGTTGGAGGCTGAGGGGGGTGGATTGCTTGAGCTCAGGAGTTCAAGACCAGTCTGAGCAAGAGTGGGACCCCATCTTTACTAAAAATAGAAAAATTAGATGGCCATTGTGGTAAGCGCCTATAGTTCCAGCTACTCAGGAGGCTGAGGCAAGGGGATGGCTTGAGCCCAGGAGTTTGAGGTTGCTGTGAGCTATGATGCTGTGGCACTCTAGCCTGGGGAACAGAGTGAGACTCTGTCCTTGCCAAAAGAAAAGAAAAGAAAAGAAAATGCCTGTCCTGTCCTCTGCCCCCCGTCTCAGGGAAGATTTACTCTTGCATAGTGTAGACATTAACCTGGAAAGTAGTAAAGGGAGCACTCAGGATAGTGGCAAAGGAGCGGCTCAGGCACTGGTGGGGGCAGCAAGGAGATAAAGTGGGTAGAAAGCTGGATCCATCAGAAAAGCCTGAGAAGGGGGAGGAGGGAGAGGAGGAGGAAGCATAATTGGTGTGCTCTCAATTAAGGGCACAATGTAAGGGTATACCGCACACCTCCTGGGTGAGAGAAACAACTACGACTTGGACTCGGCCTAACACATGCAAACAATGTCACCTAATCGTCTGTACCCTCATATTAATCTGAAAAAGAAAAAAGAAAAGAAAAGCCCGAGAGGAGATTTAGGGAACTGTCAGAGTCTAGGACTGGATTAGCAGTTAAGTACATGGAAAACAATCCATATGTAAAAATAAATTAATTATTGGCTTCAGGGAAAACATAGTGGAAGAAAGAAAAAGTAATTATGCACATCTAGCCATAGCATTGACATAGCTGCTATAGTAGAAATGCTAAATGAGGATCTCAGAAGTGGATCAGGAGGACCAGAGAGAGGAAAGGTGTGAACCCGAGCAGTGGCACTTGGTGAATTGGGAGCTAAATGCTTGTTCTCCTCAGTGGAAAGGTGTAGGATGATTAAGGAGAATGGACATTCTTTGTCTCCAACCTCAGATCTGGATAGCCTCTGAGGCTGCTAAGCTAATATGGTAGAAAGGACACCTTTCTGGTTTCAGGCCATCTTTAAGAGACTGGCAGCTTTCACTTTCCTTTGCTCAAAATCCTGCTGCCATTCTGTGAGGAAGCTCAAGCAACTCTATGGCAAAACCACATGGAAAGGAGCCCCACCTCCTGGTCACCAGCCAACACCAAGTCACCAGCCACATGACTGAGCCATCTTGGAGGCAGAGCCCCTGGCCCTATCAAGCCACCCCAGCTGAAGCCTCATAGAACAGACGTAGGCTGCCGCCATCCATCCATCACAAAATGCAGATTTGTGATCAA